CAATTTCCATGGCTGGAGCCCTGAATGGAAGCCCCCTAACTACCCCCTACTCCTCCCCCCCACCCCCCTCCAAATAAAAAAGTAATATTAATTAAAATTAAGAAGTAATGAATGCACCATTAAAGTGTCATCAAAAGATGCTGACCTAAGACAAAGGTTTCAATGATACACAATACGGTCAAAAAGTCTTCAATCAATAATATACAGTATGACAACTACATCTTGTAAATTATACCCAATACTGCCGGCAGTCTATCCCTCTAAAGAATATTTGCCCCCTTTCATCCCTTCCTAACAATCAGATAATAAAATACAGCACCTATAAATAAGCAAAAAAAAAATATATATATATATACTGAAATCATCTATTGTTAGTTTTAAAGATATGGCAATAAAGGAGTCTAAATTAGCAAACTTGTAGAAGCCATAACTGATAAAACAGCTTATTGAAAAAAGGTGGCAGTAATGCACTCTATGTGTGCACAAGTACGTAAGAAAATACACAGACGTATAAAATTGCACGCACACACTCACGCACACACATCCTTCCACACACCTCTATGCTCACGCATATACATATAGACAAAAGGAGGAGTTAGAGACAAGTTAGAATATGATTTGTACTTTGATCAGTTCTAAACTATGCATAAAATCAGGTGAAAAGGCTGCATTTCTGAAGGGCAGAATCATCTGGACTGGGACTCAAGAGCATGAATATTTTGGTTTGGAGTTTGGATTAATTTCATCTTGGTATAAGCCCATCTGGTCACTGCCATATACTCTTTTCCCACACAAAAATAAGCTTCCCACAACTAAAACATATTTAAATCAGTGCTTGTGGTGGGAAGAGAGTCAGTAAATGACTACCTATAGTAGGAAGAAATCTCCATTTGAGGTAGCCCTCAGGATCCCTCTTAGTGGTGCATGATATCAGTTATGCATGTAAATAAAATCAACTAATTCCAGGTTTGTTGAAATGCTTCAGGTTGTAAAATACATTGCTAGAGTTGCAGGCTGAAATGTTACTGGCCAACTTTTCTCTCTCTCTTTTGTGATCTCTCCCTCCCTCTCCATAACAGAAACGTATTCTGTACACTACAACTCAAACAAAATGATCAAGTACATACTGTTCTAAGTTGTCTCCTAGCCTCCTAGATATGAGGTCTGATCAGCGTGCTCTGTGGTTAGAGGTTAAAAAGCAGATTATAAAATACCTAGATTCAGATTTTTTGTCCTGATTTGGCCTAAAATGGAGTGTATTAAACAAATTCTGGCCTGCAAAAGACCAGAATCAGTTAAAGCTATGAAACAATGTGCACTACGTGTCAATATTCTATTTCACTTACAAGAAAACACTAAGTCAGCTACCACAAATTAAGATATTTTCCTGATGTGACTTTTTTTTGTTTTGTTAAAAAATATGTGGAGTAAATGTGTTTTTTTTTAATTCAAAGTTTCAAACAACAAGATTCTTTTCTTTTCTTGAAAATATTTAGGAATCCAAACTAGTGTGTTTAGAGTCGGTTGACTGTGCAATCTCTTAGTGGCAACTGAACAGCTACAAAAACTTTCTTTTTTTTCTTTTTTTGAAAAATCTCCCCTTTTTTCCTGGTTTAAGAAGATAATAGTGTATTATCGCTCTGTAGCCATTAGATGGCAGATAAAAAGCCCCCTTTTAATATGTGGGTTTGATTTTTTTTTTTTTTAAGGTTTTTTGTTTTTTTAAAGCCCACACCAAAGAGGAGGGCACAAGGCAAAGCTGTATGAGTTATTCCAGAAACTGTGGAAATCACTTAGGGCAATAATAAAAACACTTCAGGGTACAAAAAAGCTTGACTACACATTTCAGTTTTCTTCCTTGAAAACACAAACATAAATTGGGCTTAACGCTCCTTTTGTTTTCTATATGCACCTTGGCCTATGGCGTTTTTGCCCTGTGGCCTGCAGGGCGGTAAGTGCGCAACACAATAAAACCAGTAGAGGTCCAGTTTAACTTCCCCAGCTCTCTAGAGTTGGGTGAGTTTAATCTCAAAACTCCCATTCAACGGGCTCTTCTCGACTAGCGGCCTTCTCTAAACGGTGGATTATGTTGTTCAAGTTTGCTGCTTTCTTTTTCCTCAAGGTGTTGTCTCGTGTGTTCTTGGAGCTTGCTGCCTCGGAAAAGTTGAATAAGCTCTGAATAGAGTTGGCTTTCTGTGAGCCTGTAGCCAATGTGGAACTTGTACTTGGCACACTGGAAATTCTCTCTGAACTTTCTTTTGACTTGTAGGAGCTCTCCCCTGTAAGGACTGAGGTGGAGGCAGCTGAGGTAGAGGCATCCTCTTCTGTAGCAGAGTTTGGCATTGTCTCCAGAGTTTCTCCTGAACTTTGAGATCCTGGTGGTGAACTTTGACGTGGTGCTTTGAGCCTGCCCTCATCATCAGTATCCTCCAGGCTCTCCATTCCCAAATGGAACGACTCTGTTTTCTCTGAAGATCTGACATCTTGCAGTGCCTCTTCCCCCACTTCAAAAGTTGACTCTGCTTGCCCTCCCTGAGACTTTGTGGTTGCATTGTTGTACTCATCAGCCTCCAGACCACTTTGTTTTCCTTCAGGTGGGCCTTCTGTGTCCACACCATCACAGCTGTCTCCTTCAGAGCTATGAACCGCTCTGTTGCTCCTGGCTGAAGGAGAGTCACTTGATCCAGCCTGGCCCTGGCTACCTGCTTGGATTTCTTCAATGAACAGTTCTCGACGGATGCGAGATCTAGAAGACACAATACAAGTCTGGTAAGCTTGGCAGTTGCCATTTGTACTTGAAGATCACAGTGACATACGTGCTTCCTCAAGGAACAGACAAGAAAAATTAAAACACATTTACAACAAGCCTTTCCCTCAGCCCCTGGACAGGTAAGCCAAATCTGAATCATTAGAAGGGATTACATAGTCAAAGTCAAATCATTCAGTAAAGAAATATTTGAAAAAAACGTAAAAGCTCTTTATGTAAGTGCAGGAAGGGAAGTGGGAGGGGAAAATATTTGAATCTGGGATTTTGAGTTGAATCACACTGGAGTATTTTTTGAATACTCAGTGTGTAAAGACTCAAGACATTTTTAGAGAAATCCACCTCTGCATGAAGTTCAAACAGCATACTATATTTTCATTGTAAATCTCTTGCTTTCATACAGTTCATTTCAGTAATGGTATTTTACATAATGCAAATAGAGCAAATTTAGTCCTTGCTGTTTGGAATTAACATACATAACTTTTGCTTTTGGAAAACTTAAATGTAAGAAACGTACTGTACTGTTTATAAAATAAATTGACCCTGCATAAGTCAACCCCATACTTTCAAATTCAGTGAAAATGAACTTGCCCCCCAGTTACTGGCTGGCTTTTAATGGTGCTGTGCAGGGTCATCTGCTCTGTACAGGAATGCCATAGTGATCTAATTACAGGTTGACCCCGAGTGTAAGTTAATTGCAACTTGTACGATTCTTTTTGAGAAATGGGTTTACTTCTAATGGGAACAATATATTATGCCCTGATATTTATAAATTATAAAAGAGTTTGACATGAAAACCCTTAAAGATTTGTCCATGTTCCAACTGCACAGAACTTCAAGAGAAGGACATTTTTATCTAACCAGAAAGAAACAGCTTGTAAACACAATAACATTCTACTCCTAAAAAAACCCAAAACTATAGCTTAACTAAAGTTAAAAACAATGAAAAAAAATAAATGTCTGTGAACTGAAATCCTGATAAAAACAGTAAGACAATTGTTCTGAATCTGTTTCAGGGCAGAGAAACTTTCTGACTGGTTGTTAGTTTACAAGCCCAGCCTGACTTCTGCCTCATTTTTTATTTATAAAATCAATTTCAGAACATGAATAGAGACATGCAAGCTGTGCATTTCCAGGGAATTAATGCACTCCATTTATGGTTAAAGTCACCCAAAGTTCTACCTTGTGCTTCCTACTACATGAAATGTGTAATAATCTTCCAGCAAGGCACTGCCCATGTCCTATTATTTGGGCTTCCCCACAGGAATTTCCCAGGTCAATGGTGTTTTTAATGTCACCATCATACTGAACAGTCTGTGAAAAAATGTCTTGGTGTCTAGGTGAATTACATATCTGAACTGGACAATGCAATCTGATCTTTTATAACCATGATGTCTGTGCATATACAAGTCAGATATGTGTTGTAGGGTGTGCCTGTTGTTTCTGGATTGCAATAAAATTGAACCTCAACATGGAAGTATACAGAAGGGAACTGTAAATTTGGCTACAATATAGAGAAATAGTGTTTGTTACAAAAAATATACCACCACTGGCTTCAATGATGAAGGTCTAGGTTTCTCATATCTCAGATGCAGCGCCTATTACTCACATTTATAGTAATTTTTCCAAAGAACCCTGGATTTCTTGCTAGAGACAATACACTTTTAGAAAAATACAGACTAAGAGCAGAATACTATGAGAAGGAACACTGTGCTTACAGCTAATGATATTATTAATTTGCTTTGGATGCAAGAGTACTTCAAAAGTAATTGCTGACTTCGCTTTTTCTAGGGTTTATGGATCTGTAATTTTCTTTAGGAGAATATTATTCACCAAACAGGAGTCCAGAGATACTAACATTAATTTGCTATTAACATTAACTGTATGCGTTGTATAAAGTTTATTACTAGCCTTTATTTGCTCCTTCCTCCAAAGTATAGAAGCACATCATTCACTGAGACATGAGAAGGAAATGAATCAGAACTGCATGCCCACCCACCTAGGGTAACATGTTGTTTAAAATACCACCGTTCCAGTTAAGAAACTGAATCATAATACCATCTCATTCAATTCTTGGCCATTGATTACAAGCATGTTTGATGGGTCTGGGAATATCTGGAATTCATTTCCAACATTGCGTCTGGCATTCAATCACTACATTAGCTGAAGATAATGTCCCTACAATAAAGGGGAACTCATGGAAACAGGCAATTCTACAGCCTACCTGTCAGTATAAGATGGTGAAGCTGAATCGGCAAGATCCGGAAGGCATTCTTCAACGTCTTTCAAGATACCAGGGGATCTCTTAGGGACTATGTTAGAGTTTACTGTATGTGTCTCTGCACATTTTTCAATTAAACAATTAAAATGTTCTGTCTCATTGCAAAATTCATTTCTATGAAGAGCGTGTGAACATATGAGTAGTTCAATAAATATGAATAACTCAAATGCACTGGGCTAAGATTCATAAGAACCAGTTTTATTCCTGGCTATACCACTGATTCTCTTTACGCCCTTGGAGAAATCAATTAATCTTTCTACCCCTGAGTTTTCCATATGGCAAACAGGAGAATTAAAAAAAGTATTTCTCCTGCCCTTTGTCTATCCCAGTGATTCCCAAAGGGTGTGCTGCAAGAGTGACAGAATTGTGCTGTGAGATCCCACTGTGTCAGGAGGCAAACCGCTCTCCTCCACCATCACCCGGTACCCTGTACCTGCCCCTGCCCCTGCCCCTGCCCCTGCCCCAATTACTCCAGTTGCACCTGCTTCTGCTGCCTTCCCCTAGTCTTACCTACCCCATACAGGCCGTGCCAGCCCCTCCCAGCAGT